TTCCTTTAACAAACGCAGATGAAGTATTCTTTGTAGCATGTAGTTTCCAGAAGTTTCCAGTACTTTCCAACTGCTAGGCTATAATGCTGAGGTTTCATCTTTGGGTAGAGACTCAATATACCCATCTGCAGTGTGACTTCAATCGATCTGCATGTTTGTGTGTGTGTGTGTTTGTGGGTGTGTGTGTGTGTGTGTCTGGGTTTCTGCATCAGAGGGCGGGGCCTCAGGTTTGAAATCTCCTGGGTTTACGCGTGCACGTGAATAACTTGGTTTCGTTCGTACGTCATGGCGAAACACCTAATGAATCGGTATCAAGGCGACTCATTTGAAGCACTATGAGTCGACTCTTTTATAGATGAATCAACAGTTTTAAACACTGTACACTAACAGATTTAAGCCTTAGCTGGATACTTCACTTCACTTAGAGCTGTGTTACACACTACATGGAGGGGAATTTTCAAAAACCCATAATATGGGCTCTTTAATCACGTCTTTCGCATTCATGGCCTCCCCACAGACGTGGTTTCTGACAGGGGACCCCAGTTTGTCTCTAAATTTTGGAGAGAATTCTGTCATTTATTGGGGGCGACTGTTAGTCTTTCTTCTGGTTTCCATCCTCAGAGTAACGGATAAACAGAGAGGGCCAACCAAGATCTCGAACGCATGTTATGTTGTTTGGTTTCCCAGAATCCCTCCTCTTGGAGTCAGCAGCTCCCATGGGTGGAGTACGCACACAATTCATTACCAGTGTCGACTACGGGCCTCAGTGTAGTCTAGGTTACCAGCCACCAGCTTTTCCCAGTCTGGAATCCGAAATCGCGGTCCCCTCCGCCCACGCCTTTGTCCAGAGGTGTCGACGCACTTGGAGCAGGGCCAGACAGACCCTCCTCCAAGTGGGTGCGCGCACTAAGGCTAAAGCCGATCGCCAACGGTCGAAGCCTCCCGTTTACGTCGTCGGTCAAAAAGTGTGGCTTTCAACTAAGAATATTCCCTTGCATTCCGTATGTAATAAACTTGCACCTAAATTTATTGGCCCATTCATGTTTCCAAATTAAAGGCCTTTTTTCATACGGAAATTAACCCGCCCACACCGGTTCGTCGTCCTCCGAGCCTGTCACTTTCATTGTTTGTTTATTTTGACTTGGTCAAATAAACTTTAATCACTCGCACCTGGATCTTCTTTGACTCTTATTCTTTGAACGTGACAAATGTGTGCGAGGGCAACTATTGGTTTAATGAGGGAGTTTTCTGAGAGATGAAGAGCTGTAAAGTGAGTGTTCAATTACAAAAAGAAATGATTATACAAACTCAGTGTTTCCTTTTATTAACATTGACAAAACCGTATTACTTTAAAAGAAATATGATTATCAAAGCATGTCTTAGAGCGAATAAGCCCAACAGGTTTTTTATGTAATCGCCTTTTATCTTAATTTATATATAAAATAAATGTTTAATTAGTAATCACTACTGATGGGTTAGATTTTTAATATTCAATATTGTTCAGTAATTATTCAGCAGTAATTAAACATCTCTGTAGCATTTCCTCCTGCAGATGTGGTTCAGTCAGTTCAGCACTGCAGGGAGCTGTCCATTGTGCTGAATTTACTCCACACTAAACTCTCTTCTCACATTAAATTCATTATAAGTGTCTGATCAGTGAACAGGATACTGTCATTTCTCAACAACTAAAGAAAGTCTAATGTAGAAATTGAAACAATAGAAAACACAAACAGATGGATTTGCTTTATAAAATGATGTTTTGTTTGCAAAAGTAATTATAGCGCTTGAATGATTATTACAATTTGGTTTAAATGTTGAATGCTGCACACTTATTTGTTGCAATGCTCTGCTCTTCTTTAAGTAAATCAAACCACAGTTGTGTGCTGTTAATTCTGTTCATGATTCATGGTACATATTTTAATAAATCAGACTTTTGCATCTTCAGTTTCTCAACAATTCCAAGTCATGAAAATAATAAAAGCAACATTTACAGCTGCAGCGAGCACTAAATATGTTCTTACTTTTATTATTTCTGTTTTTGTCTAACCACAGTTTATCTCATGCATTGATGTGTGTATTGAGCATGCAAGATCACCAGCTTGACCACAAACAGTTTTAGGACATTCAGTCTGTTGCATGCCTGAATAAAAACACTTGTGGTTTGTGTTCTCGCCTAGCTTTTCACAGCAACTGCAACATCACTGCACCAGGAGCGTCAGTAAAGACCAAGAAGAAGAAGAAGAAACACAGCACTGAGCCTGAAAGCTGATGTTGGCTGCAAGCGGACTCGTTTAGGACCCAGACATAACTTAAGATTAAAAATAATTGTATAATAATATAATACATTAATCATATTGATTATTTACCTCTGATATTTCTGTAAACTAGTGTGTAAAATCAGGCTGCTTCGATGCACACTAAGCACCCTTAATGGAAGTTCACAATCGCAAATTCATATCAGACCATCAAATGTAATAAACGAGAGATGTTTTTCTAAAAATAATCCGTTATTTATTCCTTTTTAACAGAAACGAACAAAACTAGGTTAGGAACACTTTTGTAAATGTATTTATGCTAATTATTTAGGGGTGCTGTTCAGTTTTTTTTGTTTTTGTTTTTTGACAGACCTTGTGATAGTAATTTACATATTGAAAGCTGTATATTGGTAATGAAAACAGCTATTTAGAGTCACACAAACGATAAATAATGTATTTAGAAACTTGCACTTTTCTGCAGTGGACGCCATCTTGTGGTCAGACGCGGGAACTCATTCGGCGCCGTTGAGCGTACACAAAGACCCTTAGAAAAACTTCACAATTATCCAAAATATCGAAAACATTAATAATAATTTAACAATAATACTATTAATATTATGAAAACAAGAGCGAATGGAGTAACGTTACATAAAATATGACTGTATCATGTACCACATGATACATACGTACGGTCATGTGATTAAAATTTTGCATAGACTGAGAAATGGTCATTGATATAATTTACTTAATATTATTTACAATAATAAACCATTTTGAACTTATACTTATAATCGTAATATCTATCTGAGCAGTTAACACTGTACAAATAATTAACATTTCAATTAAGAGTTGCATTTACAGCTTGAGCCACTAATAGAAAATATCTGAGTTAATTTTATAATTGTATTACTGTAATATAATTAATTCCCAAATAGTTGTATAGTCAAATTTTGTCTAATGAATTCTGCTCATTTGTCTTTCTCACCAATTACAGTTTCGTGAATTATTAATTTATTTAAATGTACTATTATTGTTGTTATATTATTAATAGTAGTATTGTTACCTGTTTAATATTATTTATTTGTTGAGACGAGATTTAGCATTTTTTACTCACGTGATTCAGATTAGCTAATCAAATTGTGGTTGCTATAGCAACGCGTGTTATGATTTGACTCCATATTTAAACACCGAGACTCGCCGCTATCTGTTGATTGAGGAGAGGCGAATTTCTGAGGCATTTGCTGAGGATTACTGTGCTGATACTGCGATTCTTCAAGGAGACCAGAGAATTTCTGACAGAAGACTTTTATTTTACAAGGAGATCGACGCTCAGAGCTGAAATTATTCCTTTTGACACGTTTTGTTGCTCTTTTGTTGTGTTTATTTTGATTTTGATCTTGTTTTTATTGTTTTTATTGACATTTTTATTGATATTTGATCTTTGTTCTTGTTTTCAGGTTTGCTGGAGTTTGGAGGAGTTTGTCAGATGGGTGAAAACCGCAGTGAGTGTTTTAGTTTTTATTTGTTTATGATCAATCATGATATGATGTTGTGTAATGTTTGGGGAAATGTGATGTAAATAAACTGGTACAAATGAACCCATTTCAACACAACTGTTCCCCGATATAAGTGATCAGATGTCTTTTATTCTCTGTAGATGCAGCTACTAAAGTTAATTGTTGATTAATTCTTATAATCTTATGATAAACGTGATATGTTGTTGTTGTTGTCGTTGTCTCAGGCCGCTCCAGATCCAGGAGTTCTGCTTTCATCCAGGCAGCTGTTCAGGACGTCAGGACACATGATGGTGATGATGAAACCCAGACCGTGAGCCAAAGGCTTGATGGATTTCTCGCACCTCTGCCTTCCCTGTTGGCCAAATCTGTGTCCACAGATCAGAGTAACAGGAAGAGGAAGCGGCAGAGCGGCAGCCAGCAAACACCAGAAGATGAACGTCCGTCCACCTCATCTAGAAGAGCTCTCAAACGCTCTCGCAGAGGTCAGAATGGCTTATTGAAGAAGTGATGATGATGTTTCAGTAATGCTCTTTTACAGTTTTCTCTACTGCTGCATGTTTTCTTTGAACACACATTTCTACTGCTCCTCTGTGTTGCAGACGCGTATGCAAAGGGCCCACTGCTGGGAGACGGTGGATTTGGCTCTGTGTTTGCTGGGATGCGCAGGTCTGATGGACTGCCAGTAAGTCGTTTTCTCCGCTCTTCATTCAAACAGCCTTTAGAAATCCTGATCTCAGTAAATGTGATGTGTGAGGATCAGGCAGGTGTGATTTATTATGCTTTATCTGTCTACAGGTCGCCATCAAGTATGTGTCTAAAGAGCGGACACAGAGGAGACTGAGAGTTGTGAGTTCAGTGTGAACCTGTTGTTGTGTTTGATGTTTCATTGGGTTCTGAATCCAATCGTTTGTCCTGCAGGAAGGTCAGGGTCGGCTGCCGCTGGAGGTGGCACTGATGACCCGCGTCAATTCAGCTCCTGCCTGCCCCAACGTCCTGCAGCTGCTAGACTGGTTTGACCGTCCCAGACGCTACATCCTGATCCTGGAGCGTCCGGATCCCTGCCAAGACCTCCAGAGCTTCTGTGAGGAGAACGACTGTCTGGATGAGGGTCTGGCCAAGAAAGTGCTGGTGCAGCTGATCGCGGCTCTGAAACACTGCGAGAGCCGCGGAGTCCTGCACCGGGACGTCAAGCCAGAGAACCTGCTGATCTCCACAGAGTCCCAGGACATCAAGCTGCTGGACTTCGGCTGTGGAGATCTGCTCAAGCGCTCGGCCTACAAATACTTCGCAGGTGGGTTTGTGTTGCAGAAGGAAACACTCTGTGGATGTTTGTGAGCTTTTGATGATCCACCAAAGAGAATTTGTGTGTGCTGGAGTGTTTTGAACGGGTGTTTGTGTCTCCTTGTGTCTCTCAGGAACTATTCAATACGCTCCACCTGAGTGGTTCTGCAGACAGCGCTACCATGCGGGTCCAGCTACGGTGTGGTCAGTAGGAGTGACCCTCTTCAACATCCTGTGCAACCGTTTCCCCTTCGGAGGCTCACTGAGGGTCACGTCCAGGAGCAAACTGACCTTCCCCATAACTCTGTCAACAGGTAAGAGACTCACTGAGAGATCAGCAGAAGTGTGTTGCTCTGTGTTTCTGAACACGGTGTTGTGTGTATCAGAGTGCCGTCAGCTGATTGGCTGGTGTCTCAGTCCAGCGGCGGCTGATCGGCCCAGTTTGGACGATATTGAGCGCCATCCCTGGTTACAGTGAACAGGTGGCCAGTGACTTGACACTTATCTGAGTGACGCACTCATGGCTTTGATTGTGTTGTTAGGGTCAGTCTGGATTAATGATCTTAATGATTTGTGTAGGGTGAGCAGGAGTCACACAGGAAGTGCAGAGAACTGCTTCCTGATCACCTGCAGAATGAGGAGTGGGCATTAACTAATGGCCGACTCACCCAGGGCCGGGGCCCCTTTACCTGCACTAAGCCACCGCTTCAGATGTCTTTAATGTTAATAGGGATTTTAATAATAAACGTATTATTTAGACAAATAATCCAGGTGTAGTGTCTTCCTAGAGTGACTGGAGAGAGCTCAAATAAAGGGAGAGTTCACACAGAAATCCAGATTTACTCACCGTTTACTCAAACTCAAGCGGTTTCAAATCTTCATGGAGTTTGCACAAAAGAAGATATTTCGAAGAAAGCAGTGTGTCAGACATTCATGCCTCACACACATTTATACATTCTTATTAACAATCAACACTGCAGTTTAACTCAGATGCAGATGCCAGAACATTGCCATTAACACTCTTTTGAATCATATTTCTACTAAAGAACAATGACTTTAGTTTACTCTACTTTACATTCTGCTGGTTCTGACATTAGAATAAATACTGAAGTCTGAACTCTGAGCTCTTTTATTCCTCTGCCTTTGTTGCTGTGTGGAAGGCATGTCTAATGAAGCATAACACACTTCATCACCAGCCTGAAACAGAATATATTTAATTACATAAATTTAAAAAAATTATATTATATTATAAATTATTATAAATTATATTATATTATATTATATTATATTATATTATATTATATTATATTATATTGATGTAATTTATGTTGCAGCAAAACTATTGCGAATAATATATATTAAAATTATTCTCAAAATGTGCTCATACCTCAACATGTCTGTTCTCAGCCCCAGAACCTACAGCAAATTAACAAACCATAAGAATAATTTACATTTGGTTTATTATATAATACTCTAATTTTATGAAAGACCCTCCAGTTAGGGATTAAGTGTTCAGGATCAAATGATTACCTGTAGTTTTCTTCTGACAGAGGCAGTAGACGCAGATGGAGAAGAGGAGAACACACACCGAACACACACTGAACAGCAGATTCCAGCAGAAAACACACTCTGATGCAGGTGATGTGGAGGTGCTGTTAAACCGTTCAGCACAAGGAGACTCTTGCTCTAAAATGAACAACAGGCCATTATTAAAGTGAATATATATTTAGTTATTATATTCATTTTATTTTATCTTTACTGATTACACACAATAATGAAAAATATGAGTTTAACACGGATGAATTTGCTAAAAGTGGTTGGAAAATCAGAAGTTAAAGATTCTAATATTAAATACACTATAAATCATCGTTTTCTCACCCAGGACAGACAGTCTGCTCGTCTTGTTTCCATATTCATACTCAATGTTTGGTTTGATTCCTCGTTCATCTTTATATATTTTTGTTTCTCTTTTCCCACAGTAGTAAAGTCCCTCATCAGAGACACTGACATTCTCTATATGCAGATCATAGGAGTTACTGGAGCTGTTGGGCACAAAACTGAAGCGTGGAAACGTCTCCTTGAAGAGTGTTGAGCGATCTATTGACAGAGATGGCTGATTCTCATGTGAGCAGTTTCTCATCCAAATAATGTCTGATCCAAAAGGTAAAGCGCAGTAGAGAGTGACGCTTTCTCCTGGTTTAACTCTCATGTCCACTTCTGTCCCAAACACTTTCTGCTCTTCACACAACCAAACACCTGCAGAACAAACGCAAGAGTGTGTGTTAAATCTCTAGCACATCATCAAGAATACATCATGACATTCAAACACAGAAATATTGACTCACACAGAAGTATGATGACTGTAAATCTCGCTCACTCCATCTGAGACTGTGAATGTGAGGGTCTTCAGCTGCAGTGTGAAGGGTCCGCTTCATTGTGGTGGGAGGGATCTCTGTGGAAGAGCTCTGAATCTTTATGCTGTTGTTTTGTTTTTAGGGGTATAATCTGGTCTGTTTCCTCTCATCTGTTCCTTTAAACACACTTTTAAAGCTCTTTTAGATGTTCAAGTTTAATTATAAAATGTAAGAGTGAACTCAGTTTCATAAATTGTTGGGACTTTTGTTTTGGACGATGTGATGTTTAATGTTGTAATGGAGATGACCTGAAGTTTTGAGCGTCTTTATGAGTTTCTTGTTTGGCATCGTTCATCTACATGCTGATTGTTTTCTTTGGCTTCTAAACCTCCAGAATGAATGTCTTTACTCAAGGTTTCTTTTGCTCTTGGTCTTTAAAAGTTGCTAGAAACTTATTTTTGCTTTTGTCTGTGACCGCAAAGCTTTCCATTCCATTTGTGTACTCTATACAAGCTCAAGTCACAACTAGTGCACTGACACAATCACGAGGCTGTGGTTTCCTGTCTCAGCTTGTCTTAAAATCCCATGGTGAAACAAGAGCAATCATGGTTAGTTTTATTATATCAGTTTAATTTGATTGATTGATTAATTGATTGATGAAGTGTTTGTGCTAGTATGGTGGGCCTGGTGATAATCTACAGACACTTTACTGTTAAATGAATAATGTGTATCAGAGTTACAGTGTGTATTTGATCAGTGTGAATTTGACATGAAATGTGAAATTTACTAAATTGTAAACTCATAATCTGAAAATGAAAATGTCAAATATTTTTTTTTAACTTGATCAAAACTCATAAATACAGAGACGTAAGCATTTACAAGAGGACAGTGACAAAGGCCACTGGAAACATTTGTGGTTTGGGTCGTACCCTAGAAAAACAAAGAGCAGGCTGGACTCTCTCCATCACCATAACTAGCACTTCAGTCACACATGAAAAGCGCTTCTCACATCCTGTGGCATTTAACAGAATAACTCTTGCACTAAATGACTACAGTACATTTCTACATCAGTCTACTGTAATGATGGCTGAGTTCAGAATCACATACTGTACTTTCCTACTGTATAGGACAGATGGAAACAGGATTTCTAAAGCACGAATCTTGACAACATTAATGCTTGCTCTTTTTTTATCATTTATGATCAAGTAGCCTGGGTGAACTATTAAGCTAATATTGTATTTAGTACTGCTCATCTGTATATTTTACACACTATAAATTTGATTTGTCATAGTTTTATGCCGTTTACATCATAAACAACAGCAGAACTTTGTGTACCAGTTTGAGCTTGAAAATGTTTGTGTTTACAGTAAATTTTATTATTTGTTATTATGAGCACAATCCCATCAGTTTATGAATGAAGTAAAGTCTTAATCCAATCTTACTTAAATCTGAACACATCATATTTATAGTTTATTGTTGATTTTGTTTTGTTTTTGTTGAATAAAAAAAGAATATAATTGTTAAAGTGGTCAGACTTTTTATTTATAATACAGAAACAATCAAAAACTATCTTCATCATATAATCTGGATGGTCAAGAGTCAAGACAACGCAGTTGGACAAGTCCCTTCAGCTATTAGCCACTAGATGGAGCCATTGTTTGTTCATGACTCCCTCTTTAAGCTTTATTCATGTTCACAGACGCTGATAACTGTGTTGCCCTTTAAGAAGTTTCACTTTAAAATATTTTCTTTAAATATTTTATATGCATATTTCCTTTGTTAAAATGTGAAATTCATAATTTATTTAATTAATCTACTTCGTGTGTAAAAAGGAATACCTTTATTTTGCATTATATCATACTTCCTGTGTAGTCACTTCCTGTTAGTGTTCCTGGCTCATTGTGGAAGCCATGTCAGACATGCGCTCTCTCGGACAATCTAAGCCATCCGCTTAAACTCATCATAGAGGCAATGCCGTAAGTTTATGTTTTGCACATTAGACATGTTAAAGACTTTATATTAGTGATTATTTTGTAAAAAATACAACGTTTAATAACTTTGTTTGCTAGTGTAATTCCTACTGCAGGGAGAACTGTAGTCTGTTTATGTTATGTATATGTGAGTGGAAATACCTGTCAAAACTCAATTTCTGAGAATTGTTTTGTTATTTTGTTGCAGTTTTCACCATAAATGCTAATAAGAAGAGTGACAGTAAATGATCAAACTTGCTACGACTCTGTCTTCATTGGCTATGGTTTAACTCGGTGTTTAGTCAGTCACAACACACTGCACGAGAACACTACAATAACTATTAAATATTTTGTGTTAATATTTGAAATAAAAGTGATCATTCATCATGAGTGAACATTTACACTACTAATTTATTTTGAGATATGCAGATGATCTGCAGATACAAACATACACAGCCTTGTGCTGTTATTAATAATCTGCTTTTCTTAATAATCTTTGGACACATTAATTTAGTCAAAAATGAAATGTTAAACCCTAAATAATCTGTGGATCACACTATTCATTTAAAAAAAAACATTTGATTGTAATAGATAATGTGCTGTAAATAAAAGCATGTCCACTCAAACTCTATCAGAAATAAGACAGAAAGTAGACTAAGAGCAGTTCATGTGTCAGATGTTGGTGTAGGGATGTTTAGATGACAGTCGTCTATAAGAGACTTCAGTGTGGACGCAGATCTTTCCAGTCTTACTCGCCTCACACTGATGTTTCTCCACACAATCTGCCTGAAATGATTGACAAGAAGAGAATGGATCAAATAAACTAGTGAAAAACCACATCAGTCAACAATTCATCTTTGATATGGTCAATAAAAGAGTATAAAATAGTTACCATCAAAACATTTGCTTTAAGAATCTCAGCACTCATGTCAGAACCTAAAACACACACAAAATGAACCCGGTTAATATACTGTAGTAATTTATAGTAAATACTGTAGTGTTTTTGAAGTACACTATAGTAAAGGACTTGAATTAATCTGTTGTGGTAATTCTATAGTTTCTGTGGTAATGCAACAACTATAGTAATGTAAACAAACTACTAAATAACACAGCAGTTTACTGCAGTAAAAACCAAAGTATACTACAGTATGTGTCTCATGTTCATCAGTTAACATTTAACATCAGTCATTAACAGTTTAGTAAATACTATAATATACAGTACAGTATAATACAATTTACTGTAGAATGGGTCAAAAACACTCCAGTATTTACTATAAATTACTGTATTTTCTCATGTGGAAAAGTCTAATAATTACGATTAGAGTCAAAATGTTAAAATCTAAAAGAACAAATCTTTAAAAAAGCTCTACAGATTCACAGATTTGTTCAAAATGAATGTAAATGTGTCGATGAGCTCTACCTGTAGTTTGAGGACGACAGAAGCAGTAAACACAGATGGAGGACAGGAGTGAGGAGAGGAGAACACACACCGGACACACACTCAACAGCAGCGTCCAGCAGAACACACACTCTGACACTGGAGGAGAAGTGGAGGCGATGGTGGACTCATGTGCAGAAACTAATGATAAATTAAACACACAAGACTGAACAAACAAATGAAGAGTTTCTGAAGCGTCCATAACATTTAACTTTAGAGGACATCGTCTTATATATTATTTACAGACATTATATAAGAACAACTTCTATTTTAATTATAATGTTTAGATCATTTAATGGCATTAATCAGTTGTTGAAGGAATTAACCTAAATTCTGTGTTTAATTTTTCACTTTCCATTTGCTCAAACCATGAGTTGAACACAAAATAACATTTTAAACAAACATTTCAGGACTCCCATTAATTTCCATAGTCAGTCAGTGGAAACCAGAAACCACTCAGGTTACCATCTTTTATCAAACTATCTGATTCTGTTATGCATTTCTATCTTGAACTTAAAGACAAAACAGGATTGGAGAATTTTAGAGAGAGTGAGTGATAACAGATCAGAATTATTAGAATTAGAAATGCTGAATTACCCCTACTTTATGATTATTTATATTAGATTTAGATTTCAGACTCACTGAGAAATTCTTAATCACACTGAATTTACCAACATGCATCAAAGCTTTAGATGAGCCACAGCAGGAATTTCTCCTCACCCAGGACAGCTAGTCGAGTTGTTTTGTTCCCATATTCATACACATATTTTGAATTGACGCCGTCTTCATCTATAAATGTCTTTTTCCTTTCCGCACAGTAGTAAAGCCCCTCATCAGAGACACTGACATTCTCTATATGCAGATCATAGGAGTTACTGGAGCTGTTGAGCAGGAAACTGAACCGTGGAAACGTCTCCAGGAAGAGTTTTGGAGGATCAATGAACAGAGATGGCTGATTCTCATGCGAGCAGTTTCTCATCCAGACAATGTGAGATCCAAACGGTAGAGCACAGTCACAGTAGAGAGTGACGCTTTCTCCTGGTTTAACTCTCATGTTCACTTCTGTCCCAAACACTTTCTGCTCTTCACACAACAAAACACCTGCAGAACAAACAGGTGAAGGAATTGACGTCATAAAGAAAATAGCACAACATTTACAACACTAATGAGTGGACTTACACAGAAGAACGACTGTTGATCTCTCCATCTCAGTGACTGCTGAATGTGAGGGTCTTCAGAGTGGTTAGCTGCTCTTATCTGACTGGATGACTCTCTCTGGTGGTGGGATGGGTTTCTTCTAAAGAGTTTTGATAAAGACTGGAAATTATCTAGTCTAATTACTCACAACCAGGTTATATAAAAATATTTATATCTATTTATTTTTTTGCAATATTTATGCAAATGGATGATTAACAGACATACATGCACATGTGCATAAGAATGTTCTCGCTTGAGGCATGTCTACGTGTCAAAACCGCAAAACTCTGCAAAAACTGCACACAATGCACATATATAATAGCACTGCTGTGGTTTCCTGTGTTTCTTACAAGCAAAGAACTTACCTTAAAGATAAGAAGATTACAAATATGGTCATCCTGTCTGATACTACTGGGGTCTCGTTGGAACATTTAAATGATTTCAAAACTGTGTAAAAACTTTATTATTACTACCACCTCCACTGTTATTCTTACTATTATAAAGTAATATATTAAACAATTGACAATAAGATAGACACAGATATGGGTGGACGGATGGATGCAGATGTACACACATTCTGGACTGTCACAAAGGGACATTTGTGGTTTGACCTTGCATTTCTCAAGAAACACAGAGCAGGTCTGAGTCTCTTCAGAAACTCTTCTTGAAATTAACACTGCTTTCACACAACAAACAACCTCTTACATCCTGTGGCAGCTGAGGTCCACTTTACCACTGAGTTTTCTTTAATCTGTTGCACAATAAATGAAATTGACCTGAAAATCTCTAAAACCTTTCAAGGGCCTGTCAGAAATGAGTACTTGTATTCAGTAAATAAGATTGTATCAGCTTTAGAAACGCCTCAACTAAGATATTTAATTCACATATATGGACACACAAAAGTTTATTTTGGACCACTTGCTATTTTAGGTTCTAAACATTTTCATGCTTGTGCTCACTTGAACACTATTGAGGAAGAAACCTTCAAAAACAATAAATAAATAAGCAAATAAATAAATAAATGAGTAAATGAATCCATAAATTCCTGCATTAGTAAAACAATAATTCAATAAGCAAATAAGTAAATGTATAAAAATCCACAAACTTCTGCATAAATAAATACATAATAGTGCGAGCTGATAAATAATAAAAATCAATCACACAAGTGTAGGAGGATTTTTTTCAAACATTTATTCATTTTTGAAACATAATCCTGCATTTATTTTATTAATATATGTATTTGTGCAGAAATGTGTGGATCTGTGTATATATATTTATTATTTTATTGATGATTGTCACGGTGGCGCAGTACGTAGCACGATCGCCTGACAGGAATAGTCACTGTTTCAAGCCTCGACTGGGTCAATTGGCATTTCTGTGTTGAGTTTGCATGTTCTCCCTGTGTTCCCGTGGGTTTCCTCCGGGTACTGGTTTTCCCCACAGCTCAAAGACATGCGCTATAGGTGAACTGAATAAACTAAATTGGCCTTAGTACATGTGTGTGGAAAAGTGTGTATGGGTGTTTCCCAATGTTGGGTTGGGGCTGGAAGCGCATCCGCTGCGTAAAATATATGCTGGATAAGTTGGCAATTCATTCCTCTGTGGCAAACCCTGATTAATAAGGGGACTAAGCCGAAAAGAAAATGCATGAATGTTTTATTTATGCAGGGATTTATGGATTCATCTACTCATTTATATACTTGTGTACTTATTTATTTATTTGTTTTTGCAGGTTTTATCCTCCAGTTTGTCGACTAGTTTTTAAACTCATGCTTCAGTCAGTGCCTTTAAACCAATTAGAATCGTTTACAGTAAAATAAACCTGATCTTAAAGTCTGCTATCTAAACTGACAGCACCACAAGTAAGATAATATGCAGTTTCAATATGCAAGAATAGACACAAATCTTCAAGCTCGACAACTCAGACAAAAATCAAAATAAGGTGTTTGCTCTCAAAGCCAGAGCTAAAGGAGATGAGGTAAATGGGGTGGGGGTCAGGGGGTCAAGTCAATCATTTCTACAGTGAGGATGTGTAAATGCTGCTTTACATGGTATAAAGGGAAAAAGTATCAACATTTTAATTTGTAGGACATTTCAGCATATCAGTATATAAACGTTATATTTTTAATAAATCTTTTCACAATTTTTAGTTCTGCCATGCTATGAAAGAGTTACTGTTGCATAGTTTTGTTCTTAAAGGGATAGTTCACCTAAAAATATACTCATCCTTCAATTGTTTCAAACCAGTTTGACTTTCTTCTGTCAAACACAAAAAAAAGCTGTAAACCTGCAACTGCTGACTCCCATAGTAGGAAAAGCAGGTACTATGGAAGTCAGTGGTTACAGGTTTTCAGCTTTCTTCAAAATACACTGCTCAAAAAATAAAGGGACATTTAAACAACAGAATGTAACATCAAGTGTCCTCTTTATCATTTTTAAAGAAATATATATTTATACAAAAGAAAGAAACTAATAAAGGTTTGAAGCCATTTAAGGGTGTGTAAATGTTAATTTTGGGGGAAATTATTCCTTTAAATGAGACACATCTGTGACATTTACAGTGCAGCACATTCAGAAATGCCCTCCATGTGGTTTTTAGGTCAGTTATTTCTGTCTTTTTCTGTAGGGTTTTTTCAGAAAACAACAGTTTACACTTCCAAACATTATTTGCCCAATTAGTGAATATAAAACATTTCTTTGCACAAGACGTCTTTGACCAGCCAGTGCTCCAGACTTAATCTCACCATCACCACGATGATCTTCTAGAATCCTACCAGAAATTAAATCTTGAGCAGGTGTAAGACAAAAGCTGCTAAAAAAAATGGCCACACCAAATGTTGATTCAAGCTTAATTATAAATAAAGTCAATTTACGGCACTATTTAAAGCATCATTCACAGCACTTCCACACAAGGTCAAAGAAGTATACACAACACAGTAATGACGCAAGATGATTTCTTGTAGGTGTTCTTCTGTTCTTATACAGGCATTTTCACCTCAGCTTTAATCAGCGGATGCACATAAACCCAATGTGATAAACCCAAATTTATATTTTACTATGTACCATTGTACTGTATTGTATTATTTTTGTTTATGGGCCTCAACTGGCAAACTGTAAGATTTTTATGGGACTATTTAACATTTTCAAATTGTGCAATAAATGTAGTTTTAGTCACAAATCTTTATTTAATGTGTTACAATTGAATAAGGGCTATCTTGCATAAAATTTATTTGCAATTTATTTGGCTGAAAATGTGTGCACACTGAATAATGTTTTCTTTTTTCATTATGTTTTCTTTTTTCATTAGTAGTAGATTTCTGTATAAATGTTCTTGCAGTGTGGCAGAATTTCTTAATTTCAGTAAAATCTTTTATTACTTTTGCTAGAACTAAAAATGTCTGTTAAAGAATGAAATAATAGTTAACATCCTGAACCAGTGTTAGCTCAAAATCACCTCCTGGCCAAAAACAAATCCTGATTTAACCAAGGGAAACATTCCTTTGGCCAGTACTTGCTTTTAAAAGGATGTTAAAATGACTCCAAATAAACATGTGGAGATGAACTACATAAAACATAAAGCAAGCAAAGCCATTCAACACATATTTATTCAGCCTTTCAATACAACAAACAAAACATTTAATTTCAAATCAAGGCAAAAAATAAATGCAAAAACACCTTTTACATTTGCTTCAAGAAGACTTTAAGCCGTCATTAGAATGGTCCATCTCAGGCTGAAAGAACATCATCATATCATGTTACACATGACTGGAGGTAACACTTTCTCCCAGCAGCGCTGTCAGCATGACCTGTGGAATGTAGCTGAGGATTATCCTGATGAAGAGAGACTCAAGGGAACTGCTGCAGAATCCAGACTATCTATATCTGTAAGCTCTAAAATGAGGGCTTGCAAGAACGCTTTTCGTGTTAAAGGCTTCTTGCCGTTTCCCTTGGTCACTAGTTCCTGCATGATGAAGGCATTCTCTACAGCGATGTCCAGAAAGTGATAAAACATGCATTGATACCACTTTTTGGGTTTATGTATGGCTCTGAAATGTTCAGTGACGCAATCAGATGAATCCACTGCTTCCATGTTCCTGCATGAAGACAAAACAAAAGCATATGTCAAAATCTAAAAATATCTAGCTGCGTTTTAGTTCACATATGGTACTATCCCTCCTAAATAGTTTTTGAAAATAGATCTAGTATGTTCCAAATCCAATTATGTTGAAAAAAGTATGTTAAAGGACAATATGACGATAACCATTTTCTAGGTATAACGCCGTTTGGAAAGTCAAGGTTTTAATACCAGCAAAATTATTTGTAATATCGTTCCAAAGTATGTGTAATATTTTTATTTACCTTTTTTTGTTGTTGTTGTTTTAGGACAACAATATCTCCAGCAGAAAAGATATCCAAAAATGAAATTGTGAAGAAATCAGAGTTTATGAAACTAATAAAGACAGGTCTAGGAGTCATTTATTTTTAGCCTGACATGTTTACCACTCCAAAATATTTTAAATATTTCAAAATAATAAAATATATCGTTTTAAAGAGAAATTGTTTTGTGTTTTTTACCCAGACATTTTAAAAGAATATATTTTAGAGCAGTAAATCACAATACCATGATACCGTGATATTTTTACCCAAAGTTATCATATGGTCTGAATCTTTTACCGGCTCATGTCTACGTTGGACGTGAATTGGATTAGACCTACAAACTCTAGTGAAAAGTGTAAATAAACTACAATGATGGTGGACACGTGAGACCAACCGTAAAGTAGAGAGGCTTCGGTAAAGATGCTTGTATGGCTGTTAATTAATATCTAGCCCACTGGATCATGTTTAAAATTGCGTTTTCTGTGTAATATTTCATCTGCAACAACAACACTGAACTTATATAAAGACGTGTTTGAACATTAACGTCTGAATGCAAGTCCAAGACCTGAGGAGATTTCTCTGCATGAAAGACTTGTGAATGGGAGATAAACCTGCTGCTGCTTCTCCAATAAGGTAGGAAGTTTAATATGAAAGAAATGTGGATGACGTGTTGATGACTGACAGGGCTCATAACTAAGCAACATAACGATGAAGTATGTCCCAAAGCTTGCATACTATTCTGTTACACACTCAAAAGTATATATTTTTCCATGACAAATAATTACATAGTTTTAGGGCGTACTACAAGTATCCAAATTGGGACGCAGCATCTGTCAATTTTTAACAATAAACATACAAAAATGGTTTGCAGCTTAAAATGTGGATGCTGCTAAAAGATCTGTTCATTTAGACAACTAAAAGACTGAATTACATACAGCAGGCCATTGGTGACGTCATTGTAAAGAAACATTCAACTACTGTAATCTGCCATTGTTGTGCCATTGTTTTCACTTTCACCATATGGTGAAGTTCGCTGCTGTCGCCACTGGCTTGCATGGTTCAGGACTTGTGGAGATGCGCGTTGGTGGATTTGCTTTTCAGTGTTTGAACTTTCAGCCACGAAAATTAAACCACACTGAACTGAACTTCAACTCTGAAAACTACGGAAGCAGTTTCAATTTACTATAATCTTCTATGTGAAGCTGCTTTGATGCAATCTACATTGTAAAAGCGCTACAGAAATAAAGAAAATTTTAATTTAATTGGTATTCATTGGTGATCTTCCACAGCAAATGTATTAAAACTGGATGCGCAAGAGGAACGATAAAATGACAAGCAACCCCAGATGAGATTCATGGTTTCTGCTACATTCTTCCATGGCGGGCTGCCACAGCAAAATACATTCCCGCCATGGCTACATTACAGTGTCTAATTCACAAGCTTCAGTTGTTGCTGTTTTTTCATTTTTTTTAATAGCGGGTTAGCACCAGAACGTATAGAAGTGTAAGCAAATTATAACAGAGCAAACTTTTCTGAAGTGCTATGCGTGATTTGTTTAACCCTTTAAGGCTACAGGCTGACTGACGGACTGATAGGGATGCGTGAGTCCAGAAAACATGATGTAGCTTTCAGTTATGATGAACAGTTTCTAGAATAAGATCTACGGTTCTGCATACAATGACTTTATCTTGCTGGAGTTTAAGGCCATTTCACTTTACTTCTGGGCCTATCAATGCCATTCTGTAAGTCTATTAAAGACGATCATGAATATTCCTTGCAAATCTAATTAATGTTGGAGACATACTCGTTACATTAACACTCTAAATTGCACTTTAGCAGCGTTTATTTGAAATCGCACAAGAAAATCAGCACTTGGGCAGTGTTTATTTCAGTGTGCAAGAAGTTTTGTGCATGAACAGGGAAAATCGGCATGCATGCAAAGAGATTCCCATGCTGGTATTACATGAATGCGCTCTCGACTTGATATTTGTCATTGAAATAATGCCATAGATAGTTGGAAGATCTGTGTAGAAGGCCTGCCACCACAGCTTGAAAAAAAACTTGAGGAAACACTGATATTACTTACTTGCTGTAGTCCAGCACCACAGCTGGAACGGGGATCTCCTCAAGGGTTCGATGTGCATCCTGCCTCACTTTCCTCTGCACAGTATCACCTTCATAGGCTTTATGGAATGAAGAGCACATCTGCACCTCCCTGGAGTCTTTCCACTCAACAAACAGCAGCTTGTCTTGTCTAATCCAACGCATGGTGCCACGTGGAGCATTCGATAACAGCTTGTTCTTAACTGATTTTGGGTAACCGGTCCTGTTTGGCCAAACAGGGCCACAAGCCAAGACCTTTTTGTCCAGAAGGTCTGTAAAGAGTGTGGGGCTGGTGTAAAACTTGTCTACAAACAATTTGTACCCAGAACCCAACATATTCTCATCCACTAACGCCATCACAGTCTCATAGCTTAATCCCTCGCTCCGTGACGCACACGACTTCCCCTCGTAAACAAAGAAGTCCCACGTATAGCCGCAGGTGCAGTCTGTCAGTGCAAAGAGTTTGAACCCCATATTTGGAGATCTGCTTTTCAGGCTTTGTTTGAGTCCAGTTCCAGCCTGTGGTTTGACCATTCGTTCAACAATGGTGATGTTCTGAAAGGGATGAAAGTATGATTTGCAGGACTCCCTAATGACTTGGTACAGAGGCTGGATTTTACCCAGACGTTCGTAACCTGCTGTTCCCTTCTTTAAGATGTTCTTCTCATCCTCTCTGCTTTCGCTCAGATGAAGAACTATGGAAATGGACAGAAATTTCCTGTAAGACATGATTTTTGCAGGAAAGGACAGACTGAAGTGCTGGGACTCACTCCAATAGTCTGATAGTGAAGAGCATCTGAACATGCCCATGTAAATTACCAGCGCTACGTACGACTTCATGTCACTTTGACTAATGAAGTTCCACAACTTGCCCTTTCTCTCTTCGTACTTGGCTGCATAGCTGTTTGTGTAGCCTGCAATGGTCTGAAACATTGACTTTGGGAAAAGAAGCTGAAAAAACTGCAGAGCGCTGGAGCACCTGTTTGGTAAAATCTGAGGGCCAGGATTTTGGTTGGGTGTGAAGACCAGCAGAGGTGGCTCAACGTCTGCTTCATCTGAGCTTTGCCACTTTTCTGTTTCAGTCCAATAGAAACCATTTTCACTTTTCCTGTCGCCTCCTTCAGCAGAAGACAGGCAAAGTCTCTTTCTGTGTTGTAGAGCGTCTTTTGAATCGTAGTCCTCTTCTGGCAGGTAAAGGTCTGATGAAGGCCTACTGCATGGCGCGAGAAGAAATCATCAGATAATTTGCCAAATACTTCACAACTAAAATAAGCAGGTAACCAAAGTCAGGTTAGGCCATGAATAAATCTTTTTTTTTTTTTTGTTAACTTTAAATAATCTTCACAGCATGCCTTCAGGTTTTTCGTATTCTTTAATTATACAAATACAATATTAAAACATTTGAAGGGGAAACAAAAACCCACCGGTCTAGAATAGGGTCCATATCGTCAATAAACATGTCTTCTGCTGAGCTGTCCACACTGGATGCCACACTGTCCTGGTCACAGAAATCAAGTTCTTCATTGCTGCCAACTATGCAATCCGCATTATTTGTAGTGTTTTTCTTTGGAACCGAAGCAGAAGCGTGAAAACCCTCCACTGCAACAGCTGGAACCACAGGAACCAATTTTCGCTGTTGGATTTTAGAAGAGCAAAAAAATAAATAAATAAAGAGTCAATAGCCGCATTTCTACTGTCGGGCAAGTGCGAGCCAGGACTTTTATCAGGTCGAGCCTATAGCCCAGGAGCTAGAGCAGTAAGCTGAAATAATGTCGCGTTTCCACTCTCGGGCAAATAGCTCGCAGCGTAGCACACAAACCTCACCCCCAGAATGTCCTCTAAATCAAGTCACACGACCCGCCCAGTTCAGCGGGAGGAAGAAAGTCAAATCAGAATCAGGCAGATAAAGCACACCATCACATCATCGCGATACAATCAAAATGGAGACAGCCGAAGCAAACAAATTACACGTTACAGTACAGCATTACATTATTTATCTATACGCACAGGCCTTTGTATGTTCGTTCATTATGTTTATTTACTCGCTGAACATACCAAATTTCCCTAGGCTCTAAGACAAGTAATTTCCCATTTATTTAAGAGAATAATTTAAGGATGTTGCATATTATTCGGTTATCTTAAGAAAACAGTTAAGTGTTTTAGGACATAAGAGTAAGTAATAAATTATAAGCTTGCCTATATTGTTGTGCTCAGCTGCTATTCACATCTGCAACAGTTTACTGAAAAAAAAAAAATGTATACTACATTTGATAAAAGCAGTGTTAAATATTTCAGAGTGGCACATCTCCACTGATTCTTCCCAAAGCAAAATTACGATTTAAAATAATAAATATCCTTCTAATAAAGCTCTTCATTTAAAATTTCATTTTCAAATTTGACCATATCATATAAAACAAACACTTGTTGAGGACATGGAACATAGTTTTGTTTTTTGTTTTTTCTTTTCGTGAAGTTTTCCCCAATCTTTAAATCAATGCTGTGCAGGACTTGATCTACCTTTACCACTGCACACACTTTGTAACATTTTACTTATCAAGTGTAAGAGTCTCTTTAACACTAAGATTTATTTTATTATAAAGAGTTCAGATATTTTTGTTGGTAAATTAAAAGTGGTTTAAAAAAATCTTAATAGTCCTAAATGGACTGTTAAAAAATATTTAATAATTATCGACACTGAATGATATGAAACATGATATCGTGATTACATTTTTGCAAAATCGCCCAGCCCTAATTAGCAATTATTTACAAAGTGTACACACTGCAGAACCACTTGGGCAGAGCTGAGCTCTGCCAACAAAAAAAAAATCCTTAGCGTAGAACCATTCTGATTATAACATAAAATTGTCAAGTTTTGAATTTTAGATTTTTTTTCTAAAATGTAAATTTATTTCGTCCTTGGTAAAATTGTTTTTCCTATGTAATTGTGTCTGATAAAAGGTAAAATTGTTTTTCAAAATGTAAATTTGTCTCGAGCTTTGTAAAAGTATTTCACACTTTGTAATGTTGTTTTTCGTTTCACAACCACCGCAGAGGAAACAGGTAAAATTATCAACAATTTTCAACAGCTCCATTACTGTTCCATTACCACATAAAGCATATAGCAATGCAGGATGGTTTCCTGTAATACTGTATAATAGTTACAGCCAAATAATCAAAACAAACATTTTTCCAATAAATTGTTGACCAAGGCAAATATTTTATGTATAAAATCTGATTCCAATGTACATCTAATAAATATATACAAAAAAATACAAATAAAAAATAGAAATAACTGATGTACCAAAGTGTCGGCTTGATTGAATTTAGCTGTGCTCCTTGTTGTGATGACAATTTCAGAGTCAGAGTCCGAGGTATCATCCACTGAAAAAATAAATCAAACATTATCAATACTCCAGCAGTAAATATGCAAAAAAAATAAATAAATAAAAATTGATTCATGAGATCTACTAACCTCTTTTATAGTGTTTTTCTAGACAAATAAAAAAAGTGATCCTGGCATATGGCTTTCCTACTTCCTTTTTATATTCTGACAATTTGAATGGCCTTTCTGACCCAGGCACATAAACCACCTCTGAGCAGTCGTGATATAAAAGGACGTAAGGTCCTTCTGGCATGTCCATGATAAATGTTCCTATTTTCTCTACAGCTTGTTTTAGCAGATCAGGTGCTGCTACATCGGGGTCTGTAAATAACAGAAGTGTTTTCCCCCTTAGAGGTTTTAAATCAGTTCCATGTGGCACCATCACTCCTACATTTACCTAGTAAAATAACAAAGCTATTTAATTAATGTAACGTTATCATAGGTAAAATAAATATACACATACAAACACGCATATAGAGAGCATTACATAACTGTATAGGATGGTCAACACAACTTACCTGGACTTGTTTTCTTTCTTTAGGCTTGTGTTTTCCTTTTGGCCCATCGTTAAAAGATTGCCGATCTTTTGACTTCGAGCTTTTGTACTCCATGAAATGTTTGTGCGATGGGCTTTGTTGTTCTGCTGAAGAGGACAGAGCTCCGTTTCAAAGCAGAAAGATATAAGCCGCTAAAATCATTATTAGCACTACTGATTTGTATTCACATGGCTTCAGACAGCTAGCGTTTTGCTACACTAAAAAAATAACAAGTATCAACTTACCTTGCTTGGCAAGGTCCGGCGGTCGAGACCTCCCAGGTGTTTCCGTCTGGTCTGCGTCCTTTAAAAACTCCAAACATCGACCGCACGTAAAACAACACCACGTTAAGCTAAGCTGCTCATGTGTTTGCCACAAAACGGGCAAAACATTCCTCGACCGCAGTTTATGTTCGGCCACCACAAACTTTTATTACTCCACAACACGAATTTACCGCGCTAACCACCAACGACAACAACACGTATCACTTGTCACTTCCGGTGTGTGGTACATTCTGCGTCATTTCCGGTGTGTGGTAGATTCCCTTTCCGTAAGGAAACTAATTGTAATATTTTGGGGGGGATTTTTAAAAGTGTTTTGCGTCTTGTAAATTTGTTTCGTCCTTGTTAAAATCGTTTTTCCTATGTAATTGTGTCTTATGATAAGTAAAAATGTTTTCCAAAATGTAAATTTGTCTCGAGCTTTGTAATAGTGTTTCACACTTTGTAATGTTGTTAAAGTTAAATGTTATGGACGCTTCAGAAACTCTTCATTTGTTTATTCAGTCTTGTGTGTTTTATTTATCAGCAGTTTCTGCACATGAGTCCACCATCGCCTCCACTTCTCCTCCAGTGTCAGAGTGTGTGTTCTGCTGGACGCTGCTGTTGAGTGTGTGTCCGGTGTGTGTTCTCCTCTCCTCACTCCTGTCCTCCATCTGTGTTTACTGCTTCTGTCGTCCTCAAACTACAGGTAGAGCTCATCGACACATTTACATTCATTTTGAACAAATCTGTGAATCTGTAGAGCTTTTTAAAAGATTTGTTCTTTTAGATTTTAACATTTTGACTCTAATCGTAATTATTAGACTTTTCACATGAGAAAATACAGTAATTTATAGCAAATACTGGAGTGTTTTTGACCCATTCTACAGTAAATTGTATTATACTGTACTGTATATTATAGTATTTACTAAACAGTTAATGAATGCTGCAGCAGAATATAGTATTAACTACTGAACTGATGAACTGAGACAAATACTGTAGTATACTTTGGTTTTTACTACAGTAAACTGTGATGTAAAGTGGTATTAAGTACAGTGTTGGTTTGTTTACATTACTATAGCTGCTGCATTACCACAGAAACTATAGAATTACCACAACAGATTAATTCAAGTCCTTTACTATAGCATAGTTCAAAAACACCACAGTATTTACTATAAATTACTACAGTATATTAATCGGGTTCATTTTGTGTGTGTTTTAGGTTCTGACATGAGTGCTGAGATTCTTAAAGCAAATGTTTTGATGGTAACTATTTTATACTCTTTTATTGACCATATCAAAGATGAATTGTGGACTGATGTGGTTTTTCAGTAGTTTATTTGATCCATTCTCTCCTTGTCAATCATTTCAGGCAGATTGTGTGGAGAAACATCAGTGTGAGGCGAGTAAGACTGGAAAGATCTGCGTCCACACTGAAGTCTCTTATAGACGACTGACATCTAAACATCCCTACACCAACATCTGACACATGAACTGCTCTTAGTCTACTTTCTGTCTTATTTCTGACAGCACATTATCTATTACAATCAAATGTTTTTTTTTAAATGAATAGTGTGATCCACAGATTATTTAGGGTTTAACATTTTATTTTTGACAATATTAATGTTTCAAAAATTATTAAGAAAAGCAGATTATTAATAACAGCACAAGGCTGTGTATGTTTGTATCTGCAGATCATCTGCATATCTCAAAATAAATTAGTAGTGTAAATGTTCACTCATGAATGATCACTTATGTTTCAAATATTAACACAACATATTTAATAGTTATCAGCGTCTGTGAACATGAATAAAGCTTAAAGAGAGAGTCATGAACAAACAATGGCTCCATCTAGTGGCTAATAGCTGAAGTGACATCAAGACCACTTGTCAAGACCACTTGTCCATCTGGGTTGCCTTGACCATCCAGTTTATAAGATGAAGATAGTTTTTATGATTGTTTCTGTATTAGAAATAAAAAGTCTGACCACTTCTTTACAGATTTATTGTTTTTTTTATTCAACAAAAACAAAACAAACACCAGCAATAAACTACACATATGATGTCTTCAGATTTAAGTAAAATTGGATTAGGACTTTACTTCATTCATAAACTGATGGGATTGTGCTCATAATAACAAATAATAAAAGTTACTGTAAACACAAACATGTTCAAGCTCAAACTGGTACACAAAGTTCTGCTGTTGTTTATGATGTAAACGGCTTGAAACTGTGACAAATCAAATTTATAATGTGTAAAATATACAGATGAGCAGTACTAAATACAATAATAGCCTAATATTTCACCCAGTCTACTTGATCATAAGTGATGAGCAAGAGCAAGCATTAATGTTGTCAAGATTCTGCCCAAGAAATCCTGTTTCCATCTGTCCTATATATATATATATACTGTAGTCATTTAGTGCAAGAGTTTGACTGTTAAATGCCACAGGATGTGAGAAGCGCTTTTCATGTGTGACTGAAGTGCTGGTTATGGTGATGGAGAGAGTCCAGCCTGCTCTTTGTTTTTCTAGGGTACGACCCAAACCACAAATGTTTCCAGTGGCCTTTGTCACTGTCCTCTTGTGAATGCTTACGTCTCTGTATTTATGAGTTTTGATCAAGTTAAAAATATATATTTGATATTTTCACTTTCGGATTATGAGTTTACAATTTAGTAAATTTCACATTTCATGTCAAATCCACACTGATCAAATACACACTGCAACTCTGATACACATTATTAATTTAACAGTAAAGTGTCTGTAGATTATCACCAGGCCCACCATACTAGCACAAACACTTTATCAATCAATCAATCAATCAATCAAATTAAACTGATATAATAAAAGTGATCTTGATCGCTCTTGTTTCACCATGGGATTTTTAGACAAGCTGAGACAGGAAACCACAGCCTCGTGATTGTGTCAGTGCACTAGTTGTGACTTGAGCTTGTATGGAGTGCACAAATGGAATGGAAAGCTTTGCGGTCACAGACAAAAGCAAAAATAAGTTTCTAGCAACTTTTAAAGACCAAGAGCAAAAGAAACCTTGAGTAAAGACATTCATTCTGGAGGTTTAGAAGCCAAAGAAAACAATCAGCATGTAGATGAACGATGCCAAACAAGAAACTCATGAAGACGCTCAACACTTCAGGTCATCTCCATTACAACATTAAACATCACATCGTCCAAAACAAAAGTCACAACAATTTATGAAACTGAGTTCACTCTTGCATTTTATTATTAAACTTGAACATCTAAAAGAGCTTTTAAAGTGTGTTTAAAGGAGCAGATGAGAGGAAACAGACCAGATTATAATCGTAAAAACAAAACAACAGCATAAAGATTCAGAGCTCTTCCACAGAGATCCCTCCCACCACAATGAAGCGGACCTTCACACTGCAGCTGAAGACCCTCACATTCACAGTCTCTGAGATGGGGCGAGCGAGACTTACAGTCATCATACTTCTGTGTGAGTCAATATTTCTGTGTTTGAATGTCATGATGTATTCTTGATGATGTGCTAGAGATTTAACACACACTCTTGCGTTTGTTCTGCAGGTGTTTGGTTGTGTGAAGAGCAGAAAGTGTTTGGGACAGAAGTGGACATGAGAGTTAAACCAGGAGAAAGCGTCACTCTCTACTGCGCTTTACCTTCTGGATCAGACATTATTTGGATGAGAAACTGCTCACATGAGAATCAGCCATCTCTGTCAATAGATCGCTCAACACTCTTCAAGGAGACGTTTCCACGCTTCAGTTTTGTGCCCAACAGCTCCAGTAACTCCTATGATCTGCATATAGAGAATGTCAGTGTCTCTGATGAGGGACTTTACTACTGTGGGAAAAGAGAAACAAAAATATATAAAGATGAACGAGGAATCAAACCAAACATTGAGTATGAATATGGAAACAAGACGAGCAGACTGTCTGTCCTGGGTGAGAAACAACTGCTGTTTTCATTGCTTTGCTTTGTGTAGTCAGATCCTTTAAATGTGTTTCTAATACAGCTGATGAAGAGACATGCAAACATCTACAGTGTAAATTATAGTGTCATTTATTATAATAATAGTGTCAATTATAGTTTATCTCTTCATAATATAGCTGTGCTTTAATGAAAAGTTTACATGTTTATCTAAAGCTTTATTATTTTAATATTATTTGAACAAATTATAACAATGATTAATGCAAAGTTCTGCAAATAACTAAGCGACACAATCCTGCATAGTCCATAGTCCAACTTCAGATAGAGAAATAATGTATATTTTATAAAATATATTGGTAAAATAAGTGTTTATAATTAGTTTTTAAAGTGTATCTTAGTTTCTAATAATATTTTAAATTAAATTAACAGCAAATTCATTATATTTTGTAAAACGATGATTTATAGTGTATTTAATATTAGAATCTTTAACTTCTGATTTTCCAACCACTTTTAGCAAATTCATCCGTGTTAAACTCATATTTTTCATTATTGTGTGTAATCAGTAAAGATAAAATAAAATGAATATAATAACTAAATATATATTCACTTTAATAATGGCCTGTTGTTCATTTTAGAGCAAGAGTCTCCTTGTGCTGAACGGTTTAACAGCACCTCCACATCACCTGCATCAGAGTGTGTTTTCTGCTGGAATCTGCTGTTCAGTGTGTGTTCGGTGTGTGTTCTCCTCTTCTCCATCTGCGTCTACTGCCTCTGTCAGAAGAAAACTACAGGTCATTGTTTACTCCTGAACATTTAATCCCAAACTAGACGGTCTTTCATAAACTTAGAGTTTTATATAATAAACCAAATGTAAATTATTCTTATGGTTTGTTAATTTGCTGTAGGTTCTGGAGCTGAGAACAGACATGTTGAGGTATGAGCACATTTTGAGCATAATTTGTATATATATTTTATTTGCACTTGTTTGGCAGCAACATAAATTACATCAATATAATATAATACACTATAATATAATATAATATAATATAATATAATATAATATAATATAATATAATATAATATAATATAATATAATATAATATAATATAATGGTATTTATTTATTTGTTTATTAATGTAATTAAATATATTCTGTTTCAGGCTGGTGATGAAGTGTGTTATGCTTCATTAGACATGCCTTCCACACAGCAACAAAGGCAGAGGAATGAAAAAGGCTCAGAGTTCAGACTTCAGTATTTATTCTGATGTCAGAACCAGCAGAATGTAAAGTAGAGTAAACTAAAGTCATTGTTCTTTAGTAGAAATATGATTCAAAAGAGTGTTAATGACAATGTTCTGGCATCTGCATCCTATTTTCATTGATTCTAATATTGTAAGTTTTTAATGATTAAAAAATGTAAATACATTTAAGAAAGGTTAAATGTTTTTTCAGAATATTTGACTTGCAGTCTCAGAAAGGACTCAGTGTTGTTTCTGGGTCTCTCAGTTTAATATAATTTAAGCCAATCACATGAGTGCATATGCAGTAGTACTCCCAGCTAAAACTGAAGTTCTTAAACTCTTTTCATGCCACAAAACAAACATCTCCCTGCTACAACAACAGAAATGTAGAATGCAAATGTACATCTAACAGAGCTCTGAACATTCCTAATATTAAAAAAACAAAAAACTAGGTCTTAGATCATCAGATGTGTACACCATTTCAGAGGTTTTACTGCTACTGTGGGCAAATTACCACAACAACTCCACCAAAACTTATATATCATAGATCTATAAGATCATTTAATGGAATAACAACCAAAACAATATTTCATCACACCTTTAGCCTCAGTCAGTAGAGCTGCAATCTTCATTTTAAAACCATTATGAAAACCTCCATTAAGAGGACTTAAATGGATAGTTCACCCCAAAATAACAATTCTGTATCATTAACTCCCTTTCACTTGCTCCAAACCTGTTTGAGTTTCTTTATTCTGTTCAATACAAAAGAAGATATTTTGAAGAAAGCTGAAAAGCTGTACCCATTGACTTGTTTGTTTTTGCTACTATGAAAGTCAACGGTTACAGGTTTTCAGCTTCTTCAAAACATTTTATTTTGTGCAAAACAGAAAACAAGAAACTCTTAAAGATTTGAAACCGCTTGAGTTTGAGTAAACAGTGAGTAAATCTGGATTTCTGTGTGAACTCTCCCTTTATTTGAGCTCTCTCCAGTCACTCTAGGAAGACACTACACCTGGATTATTTGTCTAAATAATACGTTTATTATTAAAATCCCTATTAACATTAAATTCATCTGAAGCGGTGGCTTAGTGCAGGTAAAGGGGCCCCGGCCCTGGGTGAGTCGGCCATTAGTTAATGCCCACTCCTCATTCTGCAGGTGATCAGGAAGCAGTTCTCTGCACTTCCTGTGTGACTCCTGCTCACCCTACACAAATCATTAAGATCATTAATCCAGACTGACCCTAACAACACAATCAAAGCCATGAGTGCGTCACTCAGATAAGTGTCAAGTCACTGGCCACCTGTTCACTGTAACCAGGGATGGCGCTCAATATCGTCCAAACTGGGCCGATCAGCCGCCGCTGGACTGAGACACCAGCCAATCAGCTGACGGCACTCTGATACACACAACACCGTGTTCAGAAACACAGAGCAACACACTTCTGCTGATCTCTCAGTGAGTCTCTTACCTGTTGACAGAGTTATGGGGAAGGTCAGTTTGCTCCTGGACGTGACCCTCAGTGAGCCTCCGAAGGGGAAACGGTTGCACAGGATGTTGAAGAGGGTCACTCCTACTGACCACACCGTAGCTGGACCCGCATGGTAGCGCTGTCTGCAGAACCACTCAGGTGGAGCGTATTGAATAGTTCCTGAGAGACACAAGGAGACACAAACACCCGTTCAAAACACTCCAGCACACACAAATTCCCTTTGGTGGATCATCAAAAGCTCACAAACATCCACAGAGTGTTTCCTTCTGCAACACAAACCCACCTGCGAAGTATTTGTAGGCCGAGCGCTTGAGCAGATCTCCACAGCCGAAGTCCAGCAGCTTGATGTCCTTGATGTGCAGGACTCCGCGGCTCTCGCAGTGTTTCAGAGCCGCGATCAGCTGCACCAGCACTTTCTTGGCCAGACCCTCATCCAGACAGTCGTTCTCCTCACAGTAGCTCTGGAGGTCTTGGCAGGGATCCGGACGCTCCAGGATCAGGATGTAGCGTCTGGGACGGTCAAACCAGTCTAGCAGCTGCAGGACGTTGGGGCAGGCAGGAGCTGAATTGACGCGGGTCATCAGTGCCACCTCCAGCGGCAGCCGACCCTGACCTTCCTGCAGGACAAACGATTGGATTCAGAACCCAATGAAACATCAAACACAACAACAGGTTCACACTGAACTCACAACTCTCAGTCTCCTCTGTGTCCGCTCTTTAGACACATACTTGATGGCGACCTGTAGACAGATAAAGCATAATAAATCACACCTGCCTGATCCTCACACATCACATTTACTGAGATCAGGATTTCTAAAGGCTGTTTGAATGAAGAGCGGAGAAAACGACTTACTGGCAGTCCATCAGACCTGCGCATCCCAGCAAACACAGAGCCAAATCCACCGTCTCCCAGCAGTGGGCCCTTTGCATACGCGTCTGCAACACAGAGGAGCAGTAGAAATGTGTGTTCAAAGAAAACATGCAGCAGTAGAGAAAACTGTAAAAGAGCATTACTGAAACATCATCATCACTTCTTCAATAAGCCATTCTGACCTCTGCGAGAGCGTTTGAGAGCTCTTCTAGATGAGGTGGACGGACGTTCATCTTCTGGTGTTTGCTGGCTGCCGCTCTGCCGCTTCCTCTTCCTGTTACCCTGATCTGTGGACACAGATTTGGCCAACAGGGAAGGCAGAGGTGCGAGAAATCCATCAAGCTCTTGGCTCACGGTCTGGGTTTCACCATCACCATCATGTGTCCTGACGTCCTGAACAGCTGCCTGGATGAAAGCAGAACTCCTGGATCTGGAGCGGCCTGAGACAACGACAACAACAACAACATATCACGTTTATCATAAGATTATAAGAATTAATCAACAATTAACTTTAGTAGCTGCATCTACAGAGAATAAAAGACATCTGATCACTTATATCGGGGAACAGTTGTGTTGAAATGGGTTCATTTGTACCAGTTTATTTACATCACATTTCCCCAAACATTACACAACATCATATCATGATTGATCATAAACGAATAAAAACTAAAACACTCACTGCGGTTTTCACCCATCTGACAAACTCCTCCAAACTCCAGCAAACCTGAAAACAAGAACAAAGATCAAATATCAATAAAAATGTCAATAAAAACAAGATCAAAATCAAAATAAACACAACAAAAGAGCAACAAAACGTGTCAAAAGGAATAATTTCAGCTCTGAGCGTCGATCTCCTTGTAAAATAAAAGTCTTCTGTCAGAAATTCTCTGGTCTCCTTGAAGAATCGCAGTATCAGCACAGTAATCCTCAGCAAATGTCTCAGAAATTCGCCTCTCCTCAATCAACAGATAGCGGCGAGTCTCGGTGTTTATATATGGAGTCAAATCATAACACGCGTTGCTATAGCAACCACAATTTGAATCGCCAATCTGAATCACGTGAGTAAACGATTCATCTCATCTCAACATATAAATAATAAATAATTAATAATAATAATAAACATAGTTAAAATAATAATAATTATAATAATAATAATAATGAAGTTTAAATCAATTAATTTATAATTCACGAAACTGTAATAATAATGCTAAATGAGCAAGATTGGTTTGACAAGGTTTGACTTTGTAAAATGTACAGCTATTTAGGAATTAATTAAATTAAAATAATAAAATTAACTCATATATTTTCTATTAGTGGCCCAAGCAATGTAAGTGCATGCTGTTTAATTACACGTACAGTGCTAACTGCTCACGTAGATATTAGGAATATAAGTTAAAAAAAAGTTTATTATTGTAAATAATAGAAAGTAAATTAAATCGTTCACAATTTCTATGTCTATGCCTATATTTTACAGTCTATGGTCTACGCACGATTTCAGATCACATGGCCGTTTGTATCATCATCTGGTAGGCTACATGGTTCAGTCATATTTATGTACTTTTCATTGGCTCTTGTTTTCAGATTTAATATTATTAAGTTTTATTCATGTTTTCGTTATTTTTGGATGTATGTGAAGGCTTTTTAAGGGACTTTGTGTTCACTCAACGGCTAGAAAGCACAAAAGTTCACCTGCCGAATGAGTTCCCGCGTCTGACCACAAGATGGCGTCCACAGCAGAAAGGTGCAAGTTTATAAATACATTATTTCTGTTTGTATGAATCTAAATAGCTGTTTTCATCACTAATATACAGCTTTCAATAAGCTAAATTACTATCACAAGGTCTGTAATGACAATTAGCTTATACGTTTGCTAGAATTTTCCTAACCTATCTAGCCTTGTTCATTTATATTAAAACAAAAAAAGATTGTATTTTATTCAGAAAAACATCTCTCGTTTGTCATTACGTTTGATGATTTGATGTGATTTGAGCTTCTGAACTTCTGTTAAGGGTGCAAAGTCTGCATTGAAGCGGCCTGATTTTATACACCAGTTTACAGTAGTAAAAATATATCAAAGTTAATTAAAGTAAACATATTAAAGGTAAACAGGTTTCTATTTTTGAATGTAGTTAAAAATTATTTATAAAATGAATAATATGATTAATAATATGATTCATTTATTATATTGATATACATTTTTCATATTAAATTATCTCTGGGTCATAAAGGATTCTGCTTGCAGCCTACAGTACATCAGCTTTCAGGCTCAGTGCTGTGTTTCTTCTTCTTCTTCTTGGTCTTTACTGACGCTCCTGGTGCAGTGATGTTGCAGTTGCTGTGAAAAGCTAGGCGAGAACACAAACCACAAGTGTTTTTATTCAGGCATGCAACAGACTGAATGTCCTAAAACTGTTTGTGGTCAAGCTGGTGATCTTGCATGCTCAATACACACATCAATGCATGAGATAAACTGTGGTTAGACAAAAACAGAAATAAGAAAAGTAAGAAAATATTTAGTGCACGCTGCAGCTGTAAATGTTGCTTTTATTATTTTCATGACTTGGAATTGATGAGAAACTGAAGATGCAAAAGTCTGATTTATTAAAACACGTGCCATGAATCAGAGACAGTGTAAACAGCACACAACTGAGGTTTGATTTATTTAAAGAAGAGCAGAGCAATGCAACATGTACGAGTGCAACATTCAACATTTAAACCAAATTGTAATAATCATTCAACAAAATTTCCTTTCATAAAGCAAATCCATCTGTTTGTATTTCCTATTATGTTTTAATTTCTACATTAGACCTTCTTTAGTTGTTGAGAAATGACAGTATCCTGTTCACTGATCAGACACTTATAATGAATTTAATGTGAGAAGAGAGTTTAGTGTGGAGTAAATTCAGCACAATGGACAGCTCCCTGCAGTGCTGAACTGACTGAACCACATCTGCAGGAGGAAATGCTACAGAGATGTTTAATTACTGCTGAATAATTACTGAACAATATTGAATATTGAAAATCTAACCCATCAGTAGTGATTACTAATTAAACATTTATTTTATATATAAATTAAGGTAAAAGGCGATTATATAAAAATCCTGTTGGGCTTATTCGCTCTAAGACATGCTTTGATAATCATATTTCTTTTAAAGTAATACGGTTTTGTCAATGTTAATAAAAGGAAACACTGAGTTTGTATAATCATTTCTTTTTGTAATTGAACACTCACTTTACAGCTCTTCATCTCTCAGAAAACTCCCTCATTAAACCAATAGTTGCCCTCGCGCACATTAATTCAATTCAATTCAGCTTTATTTGTATAGCGCTTTTACAATGTAGATTGTGTCAAAGCAGCTTCACATAAATGGTCATAGTAACTGGAACAGTGTGGTTCAGGTTTTAGTGTTTAAGTTCAGTTTAGTTTAGCTCTGTTCAGTGTGATTTAATCATTACTGAGAGTTCAAACACTGAAGAGCAAATTCATCGATGCGTAGCTCTACCAATCCTGAACCATGCGAGGCAGTGGCGACAGCGGAGAGGGAAAAAAAACTTCACCTGATGGGAGTGAAGAAAAAAAACCTTGAGAGAACCAGAATCAGTTGGGCACGACCATTTTAATTTCTCCGCTGGCCAAAAGTCTTGTGCAGAAATTCATTCGCCGTGGTTTATGCGGAAGATGGCCTCAATGAAGACTCGTCTGTCCCTGGAGCGTCGCTGGAATCAGACTCATGTTCTCCACTCCCCACGACCATCAGCGCAGCAGCAGCTCAGGATATGGCCTGGTCCCGGATATGGAATCCTTGGGATCATCACGTCGCTGGTCTTGGATCCAATCAGTGACTCCGCCTAATCTGAGGACCTCGGGATGAGTATCCCCAGGTGAAAATAGAGAATAAAGAGAATAATTAGCGTAGCTGCTGTTCATAGTGTATATAAGCAAGATGTAGAAGCCAGTGTGGAACCCGCTAGGTGATGCACTGAGTGTATGCTTTACTAAACAGATAGGTCTTTAATCTAGTTTTGAACTGGGAGAGTGTGTCTGAGCCTCGGACATTACCAGGAAGGCTATTCCAGAGTGTAGGAGCCATGAAAGAGAAGGCTCGACCTCCTTTACTTGATTTTGCTATTCTAGGTACTACCAGAAGCCCTGAATTTTGAGATCTTAAGGAGCGAGTTGGTTCGTAGCGAGACAGAAGGTTGGTTAGATAAACAGGAGCTAGATTATTTAGAGCTTTATAGGTGAGAAGTAATATTTTAAATTCAATACGAAATTTAACAGGCAGCCAGTGTAAGGAGGATAAAATTGGGGTTATATGATCATATTTTCTGGACCTGGTCAGAACTCTGGCTGCTGCATTTTGTACTAATTGAAGTTTGTTAATAGAGGATGCTGGGCAGCCAGCAAATAGAGCATTACAGTAATCCAGTCTCGAAGTCATAAAAGCATGGACTAGCTTTTCTGCATCTGAGATGGATAGCATATTTCGTAATTTAGCGATATTTCTCAGATGAAAGAAGGCAGTTTTTGTGACATGGGATATATGGTTTTTAAAAGTTAGATTGCTGTCTAATATGACACCCAAATCTTTTATAGTAGAGCTAAAGCTAACTTTGTATCCCTCTAATTGTAAATTGAGTTGCGAGATCTGCTGTGTGCAAGATTTAGGCCCAATAAGTAATAATTCTGTTTTGTCTGAGTTTAAGAGAAGAAAATTGTTGGTCATCCAGTCTTTGATGTCTTTGATACACTCAGTTAGTTTAGAAAGTTCAGACGTCTCGTCAGGTTTAGTGGAAATATATAATTGAGTATCATCTGCATAGCAGTGAAAGCTGATCCCATGTCTTCTAATAATGTCTCCCATAGGTAGCATGTAAATTGTAAACAGTAAAGGGCCTAAAACTGATCCTTGAGGAACCCCATACTTTACTGGGCAGATTTGTGAAGGCTGTCCATTAAGATTTACAAACTGGTAGCGGTCAGTTAAGTATGACTTAAACCATTGTAGAGCCTGTCCCTGGACACCTGTAGACTTTAAACGATTTATGAGGATATTGTGGTCAATGGTATCAAATGCCGCACTAAGATCGAGTAAAACTAATAGCGAGACGCACCCTCGGTCAGCAGCTAAGAGTAAATCGTTGGTTATTTTCACTAAGGCGGTTTCTGTACTGTGGTGAGCCCTGAAACCTGACTGAAACACTTCAAAAATATTGTTCGTCTGCAGATAAGAGCATAATTGAGTGGAAACAACTTTTTCTAGTATTTTAGACATAAATGGAAGATTAGAAATAGGCCTATAGTTAGCTAAGTTGTTGGTGTCTAGTTGCGGTTTCTTAATAATAGGCTTAATAACAGCTAGCTTGTAAGAGTTTGGAACATGGCCTATAGATAAAGAAGAGTTGATAATGTTAAGAAGAGGTTCTCCTATAGCAGGTAACAGCTCTTTCAGTAATTTTGTTGGAATTGAGTCCAGCATACACGTAGCTGGTTTAGAGCTATTTATAATTAATTTACAATTTTTAATTTATTTACATTAATCAATACACAAGACTAAAGAAAGCCTAATGGAAAATCTGTGCTTTGTGACAATGATCTAAGAGATCTTATCAGATCAGTGAAGTTTATTTTTCAGTTTGGCTGAAGTGAAAACAGTTTTTGATAAAAACAAACAAAAAATTAAGCACATTATTATTAGCCCTGTAAGATTTTTTTTTTTTTTTTTTTTTGGCTACAGAACCAAACACTGTTGTCCTATGATTTGCCTAAATTAAACTAACTTTAGTTAACCTAATTAACCCAGTGAGCCTTTAAACTGCACTTTAAGCTGAATACTAGTGTCTTGTAAAATAACTATTAAAATATTGTGTCATGAGTTATTAGAGATTATTTATTTAACATATTATGTTTAAAAATGTGTTGCAAAAGATATTTTCTCAATTAAACCGTGCTGGGGAATTATTTAATCATTCATTACACTCAGAATAATTTATTTCAAGTGTTTATTTCAGTTCATTTTGATGATTATGGATTACAGCGAATATTAGTGTCAATTATAGTTTATCTCTTCATAATATAGCTGTGCTTTAATGATAAGTTTACATGTTTACCTAAAGTTTTATTATTTTAATATTATTTGAATGAATTTTATCGATAATTAATGCAAAGTCCTGCAAATAATTAAGCAACACATTCCTGCAGCCATAGTCCGACTTCAAATACAGAAATAATGTATATTTAATAAAGTATATTAGTAAAATAAGTGTTTATAATTAGTTTTTAAAGTGTATCTTAGTTTCTAATAATACTTTAAATTAAATTAACAGCAAATTCATTATATTTTGTAAAACGATGATTTATAGTGTATTTAATATTAGAATCTTTAACTTCTGATTTTCCAACCACTTTTAGCAAATTCATCCGTGTTAAACTCATATTTTTCATTATTGTGTGTAATCAGTTAAGATAAAATAAAATGAATATAATAACTAAATATATATTCACTTTAATAATGGCCTGTTGTTCATTTTAGAGCAAGAGTCTCCTTGTGCTGAACGGTTTAACAGCACCTCCACATCACCTGCATCAGAGTGTGTTTTCTGCTGGAATCTGCTGTTCAGTGTGTGTTCGGTGTGTGTTCTCCTCTTCTCCATCTGCGTCTACTGCCTCTGTCAGAAGAAAACTACAGGTCATCAGCTATTCGTAAAAAATGTATATCTCAAATTATAAAATGTAAATTATTCTTATCTTTTGTTAAGTTTCTGTAGGTTCTGGGGCTGAGAACAGACATGTTGAGGTATGAGCACATTTTGAGAATAATTTTAATATATATTATTCGCAATAGTTTAGCAGCAACATAAATTACATCAATATAATGTAATATATTTGTTTGTTTATTTATTTGTTTATTATTTTAATTAAATATATTCTGTTTCAGGCTGGTGAAGAAGTGTGTTATGCTTCATTAGACATGCCTTCCACACAGCAACAAAGGCAGAGGAATGAAAAAGGCTTAGAGTTCAGACTTCAGTATTTATTCTGATGTCAGAACCAGCAGAATGTAAAGTAGAGTAAACTAAAGTCATTGTTCTTTAGTAGAAATATGATTCAAAAGAGTGTTAATGACAATGTTCTGGCATCTGCATCCTATTTTCATTGATTCTAATATTGTAAGTTTTTAATGATTAAAAATGTAAATACATTTAAGAAAGGTTAAATGTTTTTTCAGAATATTTGACTTGCAGTCTCAGAAAGGACTCAGTGTTGTTTCTGGGTCTCTCAGTTTAATATAATTTAAGCCAATCACATGAGTGCATATGCAGTAGTACTCCCAGCTAAAACTGAAGTTCTTAAACTCTTTTCATGCCACAAAACAAACATCTCCCTGCTACAACAACAGAAATGTAGAATGCAAATGTACATCTAACAGAGCTCTGAACATTCCTAATATTAAAAAAACAAAAAACTAGGTCTTAGATCATCAGATGTGTACACCATTTCAGAGGTTTTACTGCTACTGTGGGCAAATTACCACAACAACTCCACCAAAACTTATATATTATAGATCTATGAGATCATTTAATGGAATAACAACCAAAACAATATTTCATCACACCTTTAGCCTCAGTCAGTAGAGCTGCAATCTTCATTTTAAAACCATTATGAAAACCTCCATTAAGAGGACTTAAATGGATAGTTCACCCCAAAATAACAATTCTGTATCATTAACTCCCTTTCACTTGCTCCAAACCTGTTTGAGTTTCTTTATTCTGTTCAATACAAAAGAAGATATTTTGAAGAAAGCTGAAAAGCTGTACCCATTGACTTGTTTGTTTTTGCTACTATGAAAGTCAACGGTTACAGGTTTTCAGCTTCTTCAAAACATTTTATTTTGTGCAAAACAGAAAACAAGAAACTCTTAAAGATTTGAAACCGCTTGAGTTTGAGTAAACAGTGAGTAAATCTGGATTTCTGTGTGAACTCTCCCTTTATTTGAGCTCTCTCCAGTCACTCTAGGAAGACACTACACCTGGATTATTTGTCTAAATAATACGTTTATTATTAAAATCCCTATTAACATTAAATTCATCTGAAGCGGTGGCTTAGTGCAGGTAAAGGGGCCCCGGCCCTGGGTGAGTCGGCCATTAGTTAATGCCCACTCCTCATTCTGCAGGTGATCAGGAAGCAGTTCTCTGCACTTCCTGTGTGACTCCTGCTCACCCTACACAAATCATTAAGATCATTAATCCAGACTGACCCTAACAACACAATCAAAGCCATGAGTGCGTCACTCAGATAAGTGTCAAGTCACTGGCCACCTGTTCACTGTAACCAGGGATGGCGCTCAATATCGTCCAAACTGGGCCGATCAGCCGCCGCTGGACTGAGACACCAGCCAATCAGCTGACGGCACTCTGATACACACAACACCGTGTTCAGAAACACAGAGCACACACTTCTGCTGATCTCTCAGTGAGTCTCTTACCTGTTGACAGAGTTATGGGGAAGGTCAGTTTGCTCCTGGACGTGACCCTCAGTGAGCCTCCGAAGGGGAAACGGTTGCACAGGATGTTGAAGAGGGTCACTCCTACTGACCACACCGTAGCTGGACCCGCATGGTAGCGCTGTCTGCAGAACCACTCAGGTGGAGCGTATTGAATAGTTCCTGAGAGACACAAGGAGACACAAACACCCGTTCAAAACACTCCAGCACACACAAATTCCCTTTGGTGGATCATCAAAAGCTCACAAACATCCACAGAGTGTTTCCTTCTGCAACACAAACCCACCTGCGAAGTATTTGTAGGCCGAGCGCTTGAGCAGATCTCCACAGCCGAAGTCCAGCAGCTTGATGTCCTGGGACTCTGTGGAGATCAGCAGGTTCTCTGGCTTGACGTCCCGGTGCAGGACTCCGCGGCTCTCGCAGTGTTTCAGAGCCGCGATCAGCTGCACCAGCACTTTCTTGGCCAGACCCTCATCCAGACAGCCGTTCTCCTCACAGAAGCTCTGGAGGTCTTGGCAGGGATCCGGACGCTCCAGGATCAGGATGTAGCGTCTGGGACGGTCAAACCAGTCTAGCAGCTGCAGGACGTTGGGGCAGGCAGGAGCTGAATTGACGCGGGTCATCAGTGCCACCTCCAGCGGCAGCCGACCCTGACCTTCCTGCAGGACAAACGATTGGATTCAGAACCCAATGAAACATCAAACACAACAACAGGTTCACACTGAACTCACAACTCTCAGTCTCCTCTGTGTCCGCTCTTTAGACACATACTTGATGGCGACCTGTAGACAGATAAAGCATAATAAATCACACCTGCCTGATCCTCACACATCACATTTACTGAGATCAGGATTTCTAAAGGCTGTTTGAATGAAGAGCGGAGAAAACGACTTACTGGCAGTCCATCAGACCTGCGCATCCCAGCAAACACAGAGCCAAATCCACCGTCTCCCAGCAGTGGGCCCTTTGCATACGCGTCTGCAACACAGAGGAGCAGTAGAAATGTGTGTTCAAAGAAAACATGCAGCAGTAGAGAAAACTGTAAAAGAGCATTACTGAAACATCATCATCACTTCTTCAATAAGCCATTCTGACCTCTGCGAGAGCGTTTGAGAGCTCTTCTAGATGAGGTGGACGGACGTTCATCTTCTGGTGTTTGCTGGCTGCCGCTCTGCCGCTTCCTCTTCCTGTTACCCTGATCTGTGGACACAGATTTGGCCAACGGGGAAGGCAGAGGTGCGAGAAATCCATCAAGCTCTTGGCTCACGGTCTGGGTTTCACCATCACCATCATGTGTCCTGACGTCCTGAACAGCTGCCTGGATGAAAGCAGAACTCCTGGATCTGGAGCGGCCTGAGACAACGACAACAACAACAACATATCACGTTTATCATAAGATTATAAGAATTAATCAACAATTAACTTTAGTAGCTGCATCTACAGAGAATAAAAGACATCTGATCACTTATATCGGGGAACAGTTGTGTTGAAATGGGTTCATTTGTACCAGTTTATTTACATCACATTTCCCCAAACATTACACAACATCATATCATGATTGATCATAAACAAATAAAAACTAAAACACTCACTGCGGTTTTCACCCATCTGACAAACTCCTCCAAACTCCAGCAAACCTGAAAACAAAAACAAAGATCAAATATCAATAAAAATGTCAATAAAAACAAGATCAAAATCAAAATAAACACAACAAAAGAGCAACAAAACGTGTCAAAAGGAATAATTTCAGCTCTGAGCGTCGATCTCCTTGTAAAATAAAAGTCTTCTGTCAGAAATTCTCTGGTCTCCTTGAAGAATCGCAGTATCAGCACAGTAATCCTCAGCAAATGTCTCAGAAATTCGCCTCTCCTCAATCAACAGATAGCGGCGAGTCTCGGTGTTTATATATGGAGTCAAATCATAACACGCGTTGCTATAGCAACCACAATTTGAATCGCTATTCTGAATCACGTCAGTAAACAACGATTCATCTAATCTCAATATATACATAAAATTAAATAAGAAATAATAATAATTAATATAGTAGAATTAATTATTGTTATTCTAATAATTTTACATTTAAATAAATTAATTTGTAAATCACCAAACTGTGATAATTGCTAAATGAGCAGAATTCATTTTGACTGACATTCATATTCTGTCAAATTTTCAGCTGTTTAGGAAATAATTAAATAAAACTAATAAATTTAACTCAAATATTTTCTATTGGTGGCTCAAACTATGCATTTTTTTCACGGTAATTTAATGTACAGTGTTAACTGCTCGTAAAGATATTAGCAATATAAGTATAAGTTCAAAATAGTTTAATATTGTAAATAATATAAAGTAAATGATTGCTTAGTTCACCAAAATTTCACATCACATGACCGTACGTAGATATCTGGTTCATGGTTCAGTCATATTTATGTACTTTCATTTGCTCTTGTTTTCAGATTTATTATTATTAAGTTTTATTAATGTTTTCGATATTTTGGATGAATGTGAAGGTTTTCTAAGGGACTAGAAAGCACAAAAGCGTTCACACGCAGAAAGAGTTCCCGCGTCGAATGAGTTCCCACGTCGAACCACAAGATGGCGTCCACAGCAGAAAGGTGCAAGTTTCTAAATACATTATTTCTTGTTTGCATGAATCAATGTCTTTTTTCATTACTAATATGCAGCTTTCAATATGTTAAATTCCTATCACAAGGTCTGTCCAAATAAACAAAACAAAACAGCGACTCTAAATTAGCCTTTTACACTCAAAAAAAATGATAGGCTATGTTGGCTTTAATTAACTTTTTTATGTCAACAGGTTCCACGTAACCGAGTTAAGTTACCTTAAAGAAAGACTATTTATTTGAGTAAACTTAAGTTAGTTACATAACGGCAAGGTAATGTTGTTTAGTTCAATCAACACAACATTTATAATTTAGCTTTAATTTTTTTACGCTGTTAAAAAAACATTTAAATTTATGGAAAAATACCGGCAGTAAATTTTCTGTGAAAATACGGAAGCTTTATAGGACTGTTTAAATTTACAGAAAATAACCGTATTCCATCATCTGATACTATGCTCATTTTACAAAAACCTAGTTTAGCTCACAAAAACGTAAAGTCATTTAATGCATTAATGTGTTCATGTATGTACAATTAGCAAACAGATTTTCACTGCATCAGTAACTATACAGTTACCTTTAAATAAAAGAAGATGCAGCACAACATCAGTTGTCCTTAGTTCATATTGGACTTGCACACAGATGCTACTATCCTTCAAGTGTGCAACATTCAACATTTAAATCAAATTGTATTAATCATTTTACAAAATTTCCTTCCATAAAGCAAGTAAATCTGTTTCTGTTTTCTATTATGTTTTAATTTCTACATTAGACCTTCTTTAGTTGTTGAGAAATGACAGTATCCTGTTCACTGATCAGACACTTATAATGAATTTAATGTGAGAAGAGAGTTTAGTGTGGAGTAAATTCAGCACAATGGACAGCTCCCTGCAGTGCTGAACTGACTGAACCACATCTGCAGGAGGAAATGCTACAGAGATGTTTAATTACTGCTGAATAATTACTGAACAATGTTACATATTGAAAATCTAACCCATCAATAATGATTACATAAAAAAAAACCTGTTGGGCTTATTCGCTCTAAGGCATGCTTTAATAATTATATTTCTTTTAAAGTTTTACAGTTTTGTTAATCTTAATAAAAAGGAAACACTGAGTTTGTATTGTCATTTCTTTTTGTAATTGAACACTCAAGACTAAAAAAAACCTAATGAAAAATCTGTGCTTTTTGTCAATAATCTAAGAGATCTTATCAGATCAGAGAAATGTATTCTGTTCTTCTAGAAAACCTTTTTCAGTTTGGCTGGTGAAAACAGTTTTTAATAAGAAAACTAACAAAAGATTAAGCACATATTATTAGCCCTGTAAGATTTTTT